TTATTCATGTTTAGTGCAACTCTTTGGGGTATTCGCCCAGCTATGTGTCTAAATTTCACTTTCTATTTACCTTAAAGCGCGGTGGTCGTCCCCCAGCACGTGTTCGAATTTCATGTAAATAAACAATGTATTTTACATGCGTTGTATGCGTCGCTATGAGTCCCATATCGAACAGGATGCGGCGCGACGACTGCCGCCCTTTAACAGATCGAATGAATTTGGAAAAAACTTCACAATTCTAAGGCCAAATCAGATGGCAATGCCTTAGAATATGGGAAGAATATTAAGGGTATCAACAAATTCCATAGAGCACAAAGACAAACTGGTAAGGCATCGAGGCATTTGCACTTCTATACCTTTATGTTCAAGCCAAGAAACAAATTTGAGCAAATAAATTTTGTGATAGCATCATTTGTGGAAAATTAGCACAGAATGAGAGGGGTGTAATTATTTTAATACAGATCAAATGCAATGGTTGTATACTGTCCAATGTATTGTAAAACACAACATATACAGTGATGTCAACTAGTAATATCGATAGAAAGCATATCTTACTTGTTTCATTCTCAGGATAAACGTCTTGTCTATCTTTCATACCCAATGCATTACGTAACAACATAGACTGACCAACTATTCCATCCACAGTCTCCAACCAACATTGATACCTAAAGTAAGAAATGATAAATACTGGTTAATCTGGGCTACATAAATATGTTTTAATCCTTTGAAGCACCAGACTTTCTAATCCAAATTTTTCTGCACATTTTTCTTATATTTTTCAATATTTCAGTTTTTACTCAAAAAATTTGGCTATTTTTGTCCAAATTCTCTGAAGGAAAGGGCAGACTATAAATGAAACTATTTTGTGAATTTGTGATGACGGATCTGGTGGTGAAAAGGTTAGGCCTTTGAAGCGGCAAAGTTGACTTTTGTCATCTTTCATAAAAATAAAATTTTTGTAGTCAAATAAAAAATTATATCCATTTTGTCAAAAATTATCAAAATAATGAAATATTATGGCGCTAAGTAAGAAACAGCCAAAAATGTTTCCAGTGATTTTTTTTTTTTTTGCCAAAATGCAGTGAAACAAGATCAAAAGGTAAAGGTAGCCAGATACTTATATGCATCACCTGGATGAAATTTGAGAAGCCACTGTGATACAACATTTTATGATTTTCTCAGGTACAGATAACACAGTTTTGTCACAGAAATTTTACTATTGAATAATAACAAAGTCATTGTTTCCATGGAAACAGGTTTGATACCCCACTTTCTGTGGTATATTCCTCATTTTCCAAACATCATCCTTTCTTAAATGAGTTAACATGACTTACCCTACTTTGTACATCTGTTGTTGTACCGGTGAAAATGGAGGGAATCTTAAAGTCATTGCAGCTGTGTTCATTTTCATCAATAAATCCTCACGTTTTTCATCATCTTCTATCTCTAAAAACATTTTTTTCATTTGTAAGCGACAGATCCCATTGTTGATCCTCTCTTTCTTCTTCAGGGAATTGTTCCAAGTAAAGTTGACTTAGTTCATAGACAATGTCATTGGTGTAATGCATCTATAGAATAAATATGTATGTGTAAGAATTCAGTACTATAACTGGACAAAGTGAGCAGTATTACAAAGACAACACTACCAGTAACCAAAGTGGATTCAACAGTACTGCAACAATACAAAGTGACCACAATTGCAAAGCAACAAGGTACAACAAAAATACCAATTATTGCAAAGTGATGAACACAACAGAGTGGCCAACACTAAAAAGTGACCACTAGCCATCATTGCATAGTGACCAGCACTGCCAAGCGACTAATACTACAAAGTAACCACCATTGCAAAATTAAGTGACCAATGATGACCCACACTGGTTTAAAATTGACCAGTACATAAAGTAACTGCAATGTGGCAAACACAAATAATATAAAATAACCATTGCAAAGTGATAAGTACTATAAACTGACTGGTGTATGATACCACTTTCCAGAATACACTGCACCACAGTCCCACCATCCACAAAACTAGATGATACTTACACCAGGGTTCAATCTTTCAAATATTTCTTCATCAGTGATATAAGCATCAATAGGAGACCTAGCTCTTTCTGGTGTACGAATACCTTCTACTAAATCATCTACAATCTTCTTGATAGCCATCTGTGCTTGCTTGTGAGCCAACTCTCTCTGTACAAGTAAAATATCAAAGTTACAGACAATGATAAATGATGTATTTAATATTGTGCGACGAGTAGTGTCATGTATTTGTCACAAAATAAATTTGCACAACTTCTTTCCATATTTTACAAAAGATTTTAATTAAGAACTGTATTAAATGAGAAATTATGTTCATTTAGTTCAAAATTAACAAAAAAGTGAAAAAAAAAACAATAAAACAAGCAGCCTCTCGGTAAGATAGCTCCGCTGTTAGCAATGCATATTACAAATAAAGAACAGAAGATATCATTAGAAAATGAACAATATGTATAGTATCAAAGCAATCAGACTTGAGGTTTTCAACAATATTGAAAAATATAACTTTTTAACAAAAATGACAAAAATATTCACCAAAATTAGAGAATTAAAGATATCATTACAAAATGAACAAATCTGAGAGAGGTCCACATGTAGTACCTATATATGTAATATCAAAGCAATTGGACTTGCGGTTTTTGACAAGAAGTTGAAAATATCACTTTTTACCAAAAATGACAAAACTATTTGCCAAAATTAGAGAATTGAAGATATCATTACAAAATGAACAAATCTGAGAGAGGTCCACATGTAATATCAAAGCAATTGGACTTGCGGTTTTTAACAAGAAGTTGAAAATATCACTTTTTACCAAAAATGACAAAAATATTCACCAAAATTAGAGAATTAAAGAGATCATTACAAAATGAACAAATCTGAGAGAGGTCCACATGTAGTACCTAATATGTAATTTTGACATGAAATGAACAAATCTGAGAAAGAACCATCCAAGGTACTTGCATATCAAATTTGAAAACATTCTGACTTGCGGTTGAAGTTGAAATTGTAAAGTTGACGCCCACGACGACGACGATGACACGGACATCAGTA